CCAAACCCCCAGGCAACCTCAAGCCATCCATCTAGCACCCCCACAACCAGCAATCGACGGGGGAAGGCCTTCTTCCTCGTCTCCGACCAGCTCGGCCGCCGCCACGCTCCGGTGCCGTGCGTCGCAAACAGAGCCTCCTCGGTCCATCCAGTGCCGCAATTCGACTCTCCTAGATCTTGCGGAGCCACCCCACCACTCAAACTTGATCGGGAACCACTGTAGCTCTAGTCACCAAATCCTCCCGAAGCCACCTCCACCGCGGAGCTCGCCGCTGGCGACTCACTTCGTCCCCAACCGGGAGGACCGCCCTGGATCAGTGCACCCATCCCTGCCCTCGGAGTCCCGTGGGGAGCCACCGTTCGCAGGCGTTGATCGCCGGAGCTCCGCCTCCACTCGGACAGAGGAGGAAGGAGGCGCGGGCGACTGGTCAAACCTGACCAGTGGGCCCAAGGGACCCACTGTCAATGACCCCGAGCCGGCCCGCGCTTGTTTAAGTGGAAGCGTATTCCACCGAATACGTCTTCGCTAGAGGAAAGCGTAAGCTGCCCGAAACGTTTTCTTTTTCTGGTTTTATTAAAAACAGATTTTTGACTAAACTTTGACTGGCTATAACTTTTTAAATATAAGTCCAATTGACTTGATTATTTTTCTGTTGTTTCCCAAATTCTGTCTAGTTTATTTTCATATTTATTTGAAAATTTTCCAAACAACTTTTTTGTACTGTTTTGAAACTATGTGTTAATTTGAATTTTCTAAAAATAGGATTTTTGGAGAGAGAAGAAAACTTTCAAAAGTTTTGGAATACACCCTGTCTCATCACAACTTGAAGGCAAGCATTTTGAACCCTGGCATAATATTTTTGTGTGTTGTTTGATACGGTTACAACACCACCTTGACATGGAGCATTCGTTATTTTATGTGATGATACGATCATACACATGTGTGCATAATGAAGATTCCTTGCTGTTGGAAATGGATATGCTTGTGATAGTAATCATCCTCGTATGCCTTTCATGCCTACCGGAAGGAAGCCGGGAAAGTCTCTGTCTTGGGTAGACACGAGCTTGTCTCTAGTTCCTCGTCGAGACGGTTGTGTCCGGTATGGCATGATGAGGTATGATGAGTGGTGATTCTGTCTGTTGGTTGAAATATATTTGTTATGCTAATCATGTAGGGAATACTTAAACCTCCTGAGTCGACCATAGATCGAGTCTTGTTCTAGTAACCCCCATACTTGTTTCGTACTACCACTTGTCCCTGCCGCAGGTAGGGTACATTTCAGTAAGTTGTCAACCCCTTTCTTGGCACACACCATACAGAGAGGCCATGGTGGAAGATACCGGCTGCATCCGGTAGGCATGCCACTTGGTCCGGGGGCATGGGTGTTTCCGGTTGGGACCGAGAGGGGGGCACCCCTTAGTAGCGCGCGGTATAAATTTGATCCCATGCTAATCGAGGTTGTAGCCTCCCCACTTAGAGTTTTGCTTAACAGGTGTCGTGGGTGATTCCAGACAGCGGTAAGTTAAGCTGGTGTGTGCGGGTCAGGTGTGTTTTCAATTAAAAGACCGTAAATGGAATTAGTCCCGATGGACTAAAGGAATCTATTACTCGTGGGTAAAGAGTACACCCTCTGCAGAGGTTAAATCTATTCGAATAGCCGTGTCCATGGGTAAGGACTACAGTCTGGGATGGGTCAAGTATCGGTCTTAGTGTTGGTCTTCGGAGGAGAAACTGCTTAACCAGAACATGGATCATGACTTGTGACTGATGATGATTATGATTTTTATTATTATGGACTAACCATTTATATTATTTGAATTATTAAGTATCCCTGGGACGGTTCTGCCTCTTGGATATTCACTGTGACTACCCTCTTATAAGCCCTTTATGTGGTGTCGCTGAGACGCCCGACTGTGGCATACTTGTTATTTATTTCACTATAAGCCCTTTATGTGGTGTCGCTGAGACGCCCGACTGTGGCATGCTTGTTATTTATTTACCTTATAAGCCCTTTATGTGGTGTCGCACAGACGCCCGACTGTGGCATATTTGTTACTTATTTCACTTATAAGACCTTTATGTGGTGTCGCTAAGATGCCCGACTGAGGCATGCTTTATGTTATTGTCCTTTCGAGGCGTCGCTTCAGACACCCGATCGGTGCATTCTATTTCTACTCTCTGATTTCATATTCATATTTTATATAAACCACCTGCTTGCATGCATCATGGATTTATATTTCATGACTGACATTGTGACCATAGAATATTTCGGAGCATGATTATCATTTGTTATATTATACCAGTGTTCATAATGTTTGCGAGTACATTCAAAGTACTAACTGGCTTGTCCCTGGCTAATGTCTTGGCCAGATTACTTGCATGGAGAGGAGCGTTGCGACGACACCCCGGAACCTACGCAATGGTGACAGCAGCCTCGCGAAGATAGGAGTTACCCTGGTCAGCTGTTCCTGTGGGAAATGGAGTCCCATAGACGCAGATGAACCACAAACCACTTCCGCCATCAGCCACTAGAAACCATTTGTTGTACTCATAGGCCAGAATGGTCTTGTACTACACATTTGTATTTTGCTTGGAATTTCTGTATCAAGTTGGTGCCTCATCAGCTAATAGTAATCCTGGGGCTGGTGAGCACAAGGACCATTTTCTGGGAAAATATATCCCGAAAATCCGGTCCTGACATCAGGTCCTGATGGATTCAGAAGGTACACATATATTTATATCTATTTTGCCTCTAGGATTGATGAAGTAAATGATTTTACATATGCTCATTTATTTGTGTAAGCTAATTGTGCCTGCTGACGATAACTAATATCAAGTCTTTGATTCTTTTGTAGAACAGGTCATACCATCATGAATATATTCGATTTGGTTCCTTAGGTACATCAAATGTGTCTATCCAAGAAGAGCACAATTTTAGAGGAGTGTTTCTTTATGGTTCTGATTCCCCACCCCCATGTTAATAACTCTGTATGATTACTACATTACAAGTCTTCTTTTATACCCAAAAGGGGGACTAGCAATCTTCATCAAGCTTATTGGATTGGTTGTTCATGCCTACATCAATGTACTGTTCAACATCAAGCTTATTGGATCAGTTGTTTATGCCTAAATCAACCAAACAAGTACGGAGTTATCTTATGTTATTTCAAGGTAAAACCAAGGAGATTGTTAAATTTTTTCCTTCTGCATTAACAGAACACACAGAAAACTGAATTTCCCTAAAACTAGGTGTATTGATTATCTGGGCTTCTCCTGAAGGATATTTACCTACTATTCTACCAATCCTTTGAAGTTATTTCTTTACTCAGTAGTTTTGCGAGATATCAAATTATTTTTAATTCCAGTAGTTCTTACTTAGTATATGTCAGCAGATTCATCCTTCATAGAACGTTATTCCTATATGGTTAAGGAGCAGGAAAATGCTCAGTCAGGCTGCCTAAGAGCCTGAAGAAATGGCTTACAAATATTTTTTTTATCTTGTCATATTAGATTTTTAGTGCAGTGGTCCTAGATTGCAACCTGAGTTCATCCTATTCCTACTTGCTGTCACTTTCCAACAGTAAGAAGTGGCTTCTCTTGAGAAATGAGTAGCATGTAAACTTTGGGTGGCTGGATTATATTGTTGCAGATATATTACAGTTGATGTTGGATGCATTTTCCAATCCCATTTCCTTAAATACTTTATACTAGCTTCTATTTTTGCTATATTGCTTTACAAAACAATCGATTACTTGTGATTAGACTCTGATTTATGGTATTTGCGTGTGGTTAGGCTAGGCAGATTACACACACATATAAAGTAAAAATGGAAGGTCAAAAGAGTAAATTAGTTGCTGCCCATAGTACTCTGCTTTGAACCGAGACATTACTATAGAACTATCGGCTAATTAAACACAGGAAGACATGACATAATATTTGACAACACTGTTGAGATTGTATATTGTTAGTTATTCATGCCAGGAACATTTTTAAATATAGCTTATTATTTGTACTTCTATGCAATTTAAAAAAATGTTTTTGGCATTGTTAAGCATTAGATGTATTAAAAGGATGTAGGTTCATCTCTCTTAGTCTTAATTCATACGTGAACAATTTTCCCCAAGCGAATACTCAAGTGATTTCCTTCAAGCCCGGCAACGACGTTATCAAGTTTTCTCTATAATTGATTGTAGTACATGCAAAATATGATCAAAGTGATTGAAGATATATAGATTTTCTATGTTAGTTGTGTATGCAAGATATGAGTAAATTTTTAGGACATCATAAATTGTGCTGTCGTGAATTTATGTAAATTCAGTTTGTATATCTTAGGTTCTAGCAACAGCTTTCCGATTGTATGAATTTTGTATAAGTTTGCCAAAGAGACAGGCAATGGCTATGCGGGTGCATGGCTCCGATGACCTGATGATGATGTCAATAACAAATTATTGGAGAAAAATAACTAATGCTAGAAGTGCAGTCTTCACTATGCTACATATATATTATATTCCTTCTGAAATGAGAACTCTGAAAATAAATATATATCAAGATCATAGTAACTAAGCGACACGAAGAAGTCAGTGGCACTTGTCAGTGTATCACACAATACCATATTTACTTATTGGAGCAGGTAAATCCTTCTACTTTTTGGAGAAGCAAAGCTAACTACTTTGAAGCAGGTAAATCCTTCGGTTTATGTTGTACTTATACAGATACCTTGGAATTTCAGGCTAGATATATACTTTTTCCTGGTTGTTTTTATTGAAGTTCGGGTGCTTCACAACTTACAATTTGTTTTTTGGTTCCCTATTCGAAGAGCTTCTGTTGTGCATGTGGGGAAGAAGCCATATCACGTCTCATAGGAATTTTCTCGATCACGACAATTATTAGTGGAGCATAGTACGATTTCAAAGAGATGATCACGACAATAATGGCACACAGGGGAATCAAGGGACGGCACCGAATCGTCTCCTCTCCCTTGTGGTATAAATACCGGAGGAATGGGAGGAGGCATCTTGCTCTCCCTGTTCGTTCCCACTGCTGCCGGCGGCCAGAGCTTCCTGATCAGGTGATGCTGCATTCTCTTCCATTTTCTTGAGACCCTATCACCTTGATCGACTTTGTGCTTTCTCGTGCTTCTACTAATTTTTTTTGGCTTGCTCCCTCAACACCTGTTACATGTTTGATAGAAAGCTTGTGATGGCCGCAGAGGGTGGCAAGGACTGCCTCGGTGACCTCATTGACGACCTCCTCCGGCATCTGTTGTTCCTTCTTCAGCCCGAAGGTGCCCCGAAGACTTGTGTGCTAGACACCAGGTGGCGCGAACTATGCAGGCGCACCACTAGCCTACACTCCGTCAGTCTCAAGCGTTGGCTGTAGAAGTTCTCCGCCAACCTGGTGTGTGCATATCTCTGCTGGTCGGTCTCAAGCATTGGTTGTAGAAGTTCTCTGCCAACCCAGCTGTACATGCCGCAGATTACTTCAATCAGAAAGCGTCATGATGGTATTGCTAGAGATGTATAATCTGTAGATCATGTTGAGTTCTCCTTTACTTGATCATTCTTTATTTGCTATCCTTTCATCCTCAATATTTCAGAGATAACACCCTATTATGGTAACTACTAGAGTGTGCCCTTCTTACACCCCAGTTTAATAGGGTGTTCGCTCTTATGGTGACACCTAACACCCTATTAAACTGTCCAAAAGTCTTATATTTAGGAATGGAGGTAGTAGATATCAAGATTAATCTTCTCCCCGCTGTTTCATGACAGATATGTTGCCATATGTGTTAAATCCATGAATAAACTAGACTGTGCCCTTCTTTATTAATTCTTTTTGGAAGAGTCGGGCTATAATAAACAAAATATATTCAGAGACTTGAAAAGCTCTAATAATCAGTCAATGGTGATTATTGGCTTATCCTGAAGGTGCACTCATTAAAATTTGATACTAACATGTTTATTTGTTAGGATTTAGAAAGTTGGCCTATCTTTTCTTTTGTCAGCTTTATAGCAAGGCAGATCTTACATATACAGAATGATCTTTAGAATAGCGTATGCTTTTCTGTTTATCCAAAATGGCTGATGCAATTCTATATTTAATGTCTGAACTTAAAGCTGGATATTGCTATCTGGAAGTGTACCGAGTTTGTTGTATAGAATGTATTTAACCTCCTTACTTATCAGTGTTTAGATTTCAATTGATGGCCTGAGCTGAGCCGTTGGATTATGATGAAGTGCAAACTATGAACAATGTAAGTTATATTAAGACACTTATTTCATAGTTTGCACTTGACGTATGGATGCACACATTATTTTATATGGTCCTTTTAGCTTTACTGGTCAAATTGTGGGAGGTTTGTGATTAGTTGCGACATTCAGTTTTAGAAAGAGAACTGAGTGACGAAAGCCATTCTTTTGCAAATTAAAACTGAATGTGCAGGTCTCCATATTGTATTGAAGCAACAACAAAGTTTAAGTTCTAATTTTGTAGGAAAAAAAATTAATTACAGATTGAAAATTTCCTCCCAAATACACATCTGGTGGTTGATGAAACTCATCATCACAATACTGTGATTTTAGAGTAGTATGATTTTGAAAAAAAATACAATGCCAAACTCGGCCTAAGCGATGCCATATGAATTTGCTTCCATAGTTTATACTAAAGGCATTATTTTTCAGGTGGTATATACAACTATACTCAACTTAATTACTTCGTAGAATATGTAGGAGCCAATATGAGCATCTAGATTCTGCTATTGGTTATTGACCGGAGATGTGTCTCGGTCATGTCTACATAGTTCTTGAACCATAGGGTCCACACGCTTAACGTTCGATGACGATCGTATTATGAGTTTCTGTGTTTTGATGTACCGAAGGTTGTTCGGAGTCCCGGATGTGATCACGGACATGACGAGGAGTCTCGAAATGGTCGAGGCATAAAGATTGATATATTGGAAGGTTATATTCGGACACCGGAAAGGTTCCGGGGTTCACCGGATAAATACCAGAGTACCGGGAGTTACCAGAAGCCCCCGGTTTGAAGGGGAAGTAAATTTGAAAGGCACCATCACATATCTTTTAACCTCAAAAAGAGAAATAACAGTACAAACTATATGCTATCAAATATGGTTAGGACCATACATCAACATTAAAATCCTGGGAGTGGGTACTCTCAAGATATTTGTTGCACAACACAGAACTGATTTTAATATCATAGCTGACTTATCCGGAAACCAGTATGTACAGAAGTTGTCATATATAAAACAAAAAGAACAAACATAATAGCTATTGATCTCAAAACTTAATCGGCAAACACAAACACGGTAATGCTAGCTAGTACTCCATCAAATGGATCTATAAATGCATCATGGATGACCAACCATAAGTACTGAAGTAATCAATGCATATTTATGAACCACCTTGAAATTAAAACAATGATGTGTTGAAAATGTATAGCCACTAAAGTAGCCAGGAAAAATATTAACTCTTTATAACAACATACATATATTATCAGGAAGCATCAAGCATATATTAAACTACTAAAGTCTCTTGCTGCAAAACATTCAAAGAAACATCTTCATTGCCCTGCTACTTTGTTGAACTGGATTTGCCAGCTACTTAGATGCTCGGTTTGAAAAAAAAAGTATTCATCAAACAACAGCGATATAAACCTATTATGTTAAGACAACAAAAATGGCATATTGCATAAACAACAATAATAACTCATCCTGAAGTTGCTGACCAAAGTCTTAAAAGAACACCTAAATCACCATGATGTTTGAACTTCAAAATGGGTGGTTTAATTGAGACCAAAATATCTTAAGCACACAGGAATTAAGAAAAACAAATAGCACAAAGTCGGACGTGTTTATCACGGTAAAGGTAGGGATGTGATGGAACCAAATAGTCCAAATTGGAGCTTTGACTCTCCCAAGGCTCCTATCAATAATTTACGCCACCAGAATTGTTTCTGTATATCTATCTTGCCCAAAGAATCACCCATGGGGCCGTGGTTCCCTTGGTTTATTTTCTAGCATCAAAGCAGGCTTCAGCATGTATGTATGCAATTTTTTAGGGGAAGTAAACTACAGAATGGTCTACAAAAACTGAAACCAGTGAGCTGTCGGTCGCATTAACTAAAAAGGTCTGGCATCCATAAAGAAAACACAGGGGCCAACCTCAGATCATTGAGCCACAGAATACATGGAGCAGCAAAACCACAACCGTAACCAGAGTTGGAATAAAAACAAACACAAGACGTGTGAAGCATACATAGTAGCAAGTAAATACGCAAAGAACAACAGATACCAAGCTGTCAAACACACAGAAAAGAATTAAGAGGGTCAAGAGGAGTTAGTGTGATACCTCAACAGGAACCAAAGACTAACACTACAAGAAATATGTCAACTAGTGACCTTCTGCCAGTGACCCTGGAAGAATTGGTCATAGACCTATGACCATTTCAGACCAATTGGTCAAAAGCTGTTCGAGGGGCTCCAAACCCTAAACCATTGTGACCATTTTGGTCAGAAAGGTCGTAATTTCCTTACACGAAAAGGTCATAAAGCAAACAACGCTAGTCCGCTGCCTTATTTCTAGTTGTTAACGACCAATATAGATGGTCATAGCCTTGTAAATTGTGGTGGGTTGCTATGACTAGGCGCCACCTCATCAGTTTTGCCTATGTGTCATGTCCATGTGGCAGTTTTTGCCCTAGGTTGTGAAGCAACCTATATTTCTATCATTCCCAAAATTCCCAAAAAAATCTCATAAATTCTTTGGGTCATATATTCGTCAAATATGTAAAAACATTCCTTTCCTAGTTCAAAAATAATTCGGAAATATTCATTTTCCTATTCTGTTCAGAGCAGCACTTTGTGAAGGAAGTACCACTTTGGCATGTCCAAATGGTATCCATTTTCTACAGTGCTTTCCTATGCCCAAATAACCATCCTCCACCAAATGCTAGCTCAATCCATTCATTATTTTGAGCCCAGCTTCAACATTCGTATTTATGTCCAGTGTGGTAGTTTGTAAAGCAAGTACCACCTAGGATCCTCTTTTTGAGGTGAAAATTTGTGAAGACTGTCTTCTTAGTAGCTGATCATCCTCAGCCAAAACTCACGCCCATTAGCCATGTGCATTTCCCGTACCGCAAATCAAACACTTGGTTGCTTATTCATGTTTGAGCATCGATCGGTCTCCTCGTGAGAATCTTATGTTGTGATTTTCTTCCTAGCACCTACCTGGGGAGTGCCCAACCCACTAGACATGCCTAGGCCGCCCAGAACACATGGCAACGCCACGGTCACGCAGTGACCACGCGGCGGGCATGCGAGCTTACGCGCTGTAGAGTTGGGGCCCTCGGCCACCGTCCAAACCTCGATGTCTCGCCATCAAACCATGTATTTCTGATTAAATAGATACTTATTTACCTAGAAATGATTTTTGGAAAAAATAAAGAGCAAAATATGAGGCAGCTGCAGTTCAAATTTGACCCGCTTCCAACTGAATCGACGGCAATTTGTCTTTTTCACCAGAGGTGGATCAAAATTTTTGACACTCAACCATTTTGTCAATTGTGCATTATATATGGCCTAGTATTTTATAAAATTGATTTGGTCCATTTTTGTAACAATTATTTGGTAGTTCCTTCACAAAAAAACCCTCCTTTTGGGCACTCGGAAAATGAAAAATGAATTTTCCGTGCAAAAAAAATGAAAACTTCCTTAGGCAACATTGTTTGTAATTCCAAGATGTACCCTTGTGCACAATATGAGATCATTTGAACAAACTATGCGATGAATGTAGCCATAAGATTGATCATTTGGCTTGAAAGCCATGAATCTTCACGCATGATAGCTCATTTCTGATAACACTTTTTTAAAATAATTACCGTATTACAAGTTTATTATTTTTCCTGGAAACTTGGTCACATATAATGACACAATGAGAAGGTTTTCCAATTTTTTGATTTTTTTGATTTTTTTATGCCCGTTTCAAAATGCAGTCAAAACGGCGGGCTTGACCGTTCCTACCTAGTGGTTGAATCTTGGAATTTTTTTGATGTTTCTCTGATTAAATAGATACTTATTTACCTAGAAATGATTTTTGGAAAAAATAAAGAGCAAACTATGAGGCAGCTGCAGTTCAAATTTGACCCGCTTCCAACTGAATCGACGGCAAATTGTCTTTTTCACCAGAGGTGGATCAAAATTTTTGACACCCAACCATTTTGTCTATTGTGCATTATATATGGCCTAGTATTTTATAAAATTGATTTGGTCCATTTTTGCAACAATTATTTGGTAGTTCCTTCACAAAAAAACCCTCCTTTTGGGCACTCGGAAAATGAAAAATGAATTTTCCGTGCAAAAA